ATACCAAGACTGGAAAAATGATTTAAACTCCGGCCACACACAAATCGATTGCGTGAAAAGTAAACGAACGGAAACATATAAGTACTTGGGTGCAAACTTCAAATGCTCCAACATGTTGAGAGAAGACACAAAATCTAGAATACAATCTGGAAGTAAAATGCACTATGCACTTCAACATCTGCTAAAGTCAGTTTTCGTCACGCAACAACTAGATAAAAATATATAAAACGTTGATAACACCAGTCGTTTTTTATGACTTTGAAGCGTGGCAGACCTTGAAGAGATGAAGCCTTACTACAAATTGTCGAAAACAGTCTCACGACAAATCTTTGAGCCCATCAAAGACACAAATAGAAGGGAATGGAGAGTGAGTAGCAACAACGAAATTCATAATCTGTTGAAATCACCACTGAACACTGGCAACATTAGAGCTAATATACTGAAATGTGTTGTATATTGAAAGACTGTCGAATGAAAGAGAGGTAAAAACTGTATACACCAGTAAGTTGAATGGTCGTAGACAAGAAGGCAGATCAAAATTACGATGGAGATATTAATGTCCAGACAGACTTGCATAGAGTTTGTATCACCAACTGGAAAGAGAAGGCTGACCAGAGAGTCGAGTGAAGGCCGGTTATATCTGTAGCAATAAACCTAAGGAGCTCGAAATGCGGAAGAAGAAGAAAAAGAAGAAGAAGAAGAAGAAGAAGAAGAAGAAGAAGAAGAAGAAGAAGAAGAAGAAGAAGAAGAAGAAGAAGAAGAAGAAGAAGAAGAAGAAGAAGAAGAAGAAGAAGAAGAAGAAGAAGAAGAAGAAGAAGAAGAAGACCATCTGCTCACTCCCATCTGATTTATTACACTTGCATATGGATACACTATGTCTTATGTTGCACTTGATCCTAGTGACACTATGTGTTATGTTGCACTTGATCCTAGCGACACTATGTGTTATGTTGCATTTGATCCTAGTGACACTATGTGTTATGTTGCACTTGATCAAATTGACATTATGTGTTATGTTGCACCTGATCCTAGTGACACTATGTGTTATGTTGCACTTGATCCTAGTGACACTATGTGTTATGTTGCACTTGATCCTAGGGACGTGTTAAGTTTCACGTGATCCTAGTGACGCTATGTCTTATGTTGCACTTGATCCTGGTGACACTGTGAGATATGTTGCCCTTGATTCTAGTGACACTATGTGTTATGTTGCACTTGATCCAATTGACACTATGTGTTATGTTGCACCTGATCCTAGTGACTCTATGTGTTATGTTGAGCTTGATCCTACGGACACTGTGTTCATTTTCACGTGATCCAAGTGACACTATGTCTTATGTTGCACTAGATCATAGTCACACTATGGCTTATGTTGCACTTCATCCTAGTGACACTATGTGTTATGTTTAACCTAATCTAAGTGACACTTGATCCTAGTAAAACTGTGTGCTGTGTTGCACTTGGTCCTAGTTAAACTATGTGATATTTTGCACTTGATCCTAGTAAAACTATGTGTTATTTTGAACTTGATTCTAGTGACACTATAGTTTATGTTGCACTTGATCCTAGTAAACGCTTACTGATCTGCTCTGCGTTATCACGAAGTATCTCGCTGCCCAGAGAGTCCGCAGCAGCCAATGAATCTCATTACCACACACACCAGAATGTTGTGGGGCAAAACAAGATAACTAAAACGTAGCATACGTTGAAATAAATTCAAGAGCACGTTCGTGTTGTATATTATCATCTTTACTGCTATGTTTACTATGATGATTTACAATTTATTGAAACGTTTGATGATACACATATGTCAGTGTTCGACACTATACGCATTGGTGCTGCTATCTCTCTCTCTCTCTCTCTCTCTCTCTCTCTCTCTCTCTCTCTCTCTCTCTCTCTCTCTCTCTCTCTTACCGTCTCTCTCTCTCTCTCTCTCTCTCTCTCTCTCTCTCTCTCTCTCTCTCTTTCTATATATATGTATAGAAATATATACTAAAACATGCAACAATAAAGCAACTGGTGCTGATGGAATAGCAGCTGAAATTATAAAAGAAGGTCGTCATGCATTACATGTAAAGATTTATGAATTAATAAAACTAGTTTGGAAGACAGAGAAATTACCCCATGAATAGAAAGTGTCTTTATTAATACCCATGTTTTAGAAAGGAGACAGATATAAATGTGAAAATTATAGAGGAATATCACTATTATCTACAAGGTAAAAGATACTATCAGCAGTACTGCTAAACAGGCTAAATACATACGTCAAAGACATATTGTGAGATTACCAAGCAGGTTTCCGACAGAACAGGTCAACGATAGATCAGATATTCATTTTACGGCAAACAGGAGAGTAGAATGGGGAATATAGAAGAATGTACATAATGATTTTGTGGATTTAAAACAAGTGTAAGATGGTGTACTTAGAAACATTTTATGGAATGCTATGAAGGACTATGGAATACCAAAGAAGCTAATTACCATGACCAAACCATGTATGGAAGACACTTGTAATATAGTCTTATACAATGGCAGAAAGTCAGACCCTTTTCAAATACCATTTGGTTTGAAGCAAGGTGAGGCTCTGTCCCCACTTCTTTTCAACTTGGCCCTTTAGAAAATTATAAGGTAATTAAAACAAGAGTTTATTATAGGAGAAACTACACGAATACTTTAATATGCAGATGGCATTGATATCGTTGGAGAAAATGAACTAGAGACTGTTAAAACACTGATTCTCTTAAAAGAAGCAGATCTCTATCAAAAAAAAAGACAGAATACGTGTTAATAACAAGACAGGGAAATGATATACACTCCGGCCACATACAAGTCGATAATATGAAAATCAAACGAACGGAAACATTTGAATACCTGGGTGCAAACTTCAACAGCTTCAACACGAAAGAATAAATACTATATAAAACAATCTGGAAATAAAGTATACTATGACTTTCTACATCTGCTGAACTCAAAGTGTCTGTCTCGCAACACCAAGATCAAAATATATAACACGATGATAAGATATGGCTCTGAAACGTGGAGCACAACCAAAAGAGATGAAGCCTTATTGCAGGCTTTCAAAAACAGTCTTACGACGAATCTTTGGACTCATCAAAGATGCAAACTTTTGGGGAATGGAGAGTGAGAGGCAAAAAAAAATTCATAATCTGTTTAAATCAACACAAATCAATGACGTCTAGAGAGCTGAAAGACTGAAATGGTTTGGGCATATTGAAAGAATGTTTGATGACAGAGACGAAAAAAATTGTATACACACTGGAGATGAATGGTCGTAGACTACGAGGCAGACCAAGAAGAAAATTGAGAGATAATGAAAAGACAGACTGCAAACACTTGGTAACACCAACTGAAAAAAGAAGGCTACCAAAGAGATGAATGGAGGAGGAAGAGAGGTGATATCTGCAGCAATGAACGTCAAAGGCTCGGAATGCTAAAGAAGAAGGAGAAGAAGAAGAAGAAGAAGAAGAAGAAGAAGAAGAAGAAGAAGAAGAAGAAGAAGAAGAAGAAGAAGAAGAAGAAGAAAGAAGAAGAAGAAGAAGAAGAAGAAGAAGAAGAAGAAGAAGAAGAAGAAGAAGAAGAAGAAGAAGAAGAAGAAGAAGAAGAAGAAGAAGAAGAAGAAGAAGAAGAAGAAGAAGAAGAAGAAGAAGAAGAAGAAGAAAGAAGAGAAGAAGAAGAAGAAAGAAGAAGAAGAAGAAGAAGAAGAGAAGAAGAAGAAGAAGAAGAAGAAGAAGAAGAAGAAGAAGAAGAAGAAGAAGAAGAAGAAGAAGAAGAAGAAGAAGAAGAAGAAGAAGAAGAAGAAGAAGAAGAAGAAGAAGAAAGTGAAGAAGAAGAAGAAGAAGAAGAAGAAGAAGAAGAAGAAGAAAGAAGAGAAGAAGAAGAAGAAGAAGAAGAAGAAGAAAGAAGAAGAAGAAGAAGAAGAAGAAGAAGAAGAAGAAGAAAGAAGAAGAAGAAGAGAAAAGAAGAAGAAGAAGAAGAAGAAGAAGAAGAAGAATAAGAAGAAGAAGAAGAAGAAGAAGAAGAGAAGAAGAAGAAGAAGAAGAAGAAGAAGAAGAAGAAGAAAGAAGAAGAAGAAGAAGAAGAAGAAGAAGAGAAGAAGAAGAGAAGAAGAAGAAGAAGAAAGAAGAAGAAGAAGAAGAAGAAAGAAGAAGAAGAAGAAAGAAGAAGAAGAAGAAGAAGAAGAAGAAGAAGAAGAAGAAGAAGAAGAAGAAAGAAGAAGAAGAAGAAGAAAGAAAGGAAGAAGAAGAAGAGAAGAAGAAGAAAGAAGAAGAAAGAAGAAGAAGAAGATAGAAGAAGAAGAAGAAGAAGAAGAAGAGAAGAAGAAGAAGAAGAGAAGAAGAAGAAGAAGAAGAAGAAGAAGAAGAAGAAGAAGAAGAAGAAGAAGAAGAAGAAGAAGAAGAAGAAGAAGAAGAAGAAGAAGAAGAAGAAGAAGAAGAAGAAGAAGAAGAAGAAGAAGAAGAAGAAGAAGAAGAAGAAGAAGAAGAAGAAGAAGAAAAAGAAGAAGAAGCAAATATATAAACATATCTCTACACATGTAAAGATATTTTCCTTCTTTTTCAATCAGCTGAGCTAAAGTGCAGCAAATGCTAAGGTCTCAATAAGTTCCATGGAGACAGTATAGAATACAAGTAGTTAATCTAACAATTCGCGTTTAGCGGGTTAATATAAAATCTATATGTGATAAAAAGACATTCACTTCATCATATAATCTTAGGAATAACCAAGAAGCGTGAGTTTAGGTGATACTGAAAGAGTCAACCCAATTTCCTACCTGGAGTGTTATTTGACTGCATGCCCACCAGGAAGGAAGGCAAATGAGCTAGATGCTACATTGCCACAGCTAATCTACTGTTGAATTTTAAATTTTAATTTGCCCAATAGTTTTCACAACACTAGTGACTTCATCGAGGTGACAAATGGGGTACGTAAAATGTACAGCCATTGTTAAAAAGGATTATAATGAAAGCATAGATCTCAAAGTTCTAACAGATTATATTTTTGTCGAAAAAATAACTGAGGACACGGCCATTTTGCACCAGTGTTTCATTGCATCCTCCGTTGATGAACTTTCGCCGAACCAAGGGGAACCTTGAGTGGAGTAAAGAGCAAGGCACCTGGTATATCTTCTCGTTGTCCAACTCTAGCTTGTGAATCCAGTAGCCCGTATGACAGACATTAATATCATACCTTCTAGCCAGAACAGCGCTGGGATTATGAGGGCCAGGTAACAGCAAACCCATGAAGGGACGTCGTCTAACTGGCAATACTATGTTAAGTGGCATGATGAACCTATCTGTCACTTTTGAGTGCATAGTCCAAATATGGGTGTCATTTTTATCATAGAAGAATATATCTACGAATGGCCATTTCCATTTGTAGTCTGCGAAAGAATGTCCATAGGCAGAGAAAAGCTTCCAACATGGTATGCTGCGAGCGATGTAGCTGTATTCCGGTTCTAAATCCTTCAAGGCGTGATGTAAAACTGCGCTGACCTTCAGCGGAACCACAACGTCGATGTCATCATCCCAGGGTATAATCCCATGATGTCTGTATGAGCCAAGCAGGGTCCCGCTGTAGAGCAAGTATTCAAGTCCTCTTTTGTTCATAACCGAGTCAAATGCTTTCAAAATCTTGATGATCAGTATCACTGTTTTGGGCTCAAGTCGAGGCTTGAAATAATAACTAATTAGGTCTCTGTTTTTTGTGTGGGGGACATGATTAAAATGTCCTAACGTGTTTGGCAAAACAATTTGGACTTTTGGATTACTTCCTGATTTCAGAACTTGCAAATTTGTTTCTAAGGAAGATGCTATTCGTGAAATTGTTTCCTGATTAGAAATGTTAATTGATTCGTTGTTCTGCACGGGGCTCCTTATTCTATAATAGCTAACACATACTTGTGCTAATATCAGAGTGTGCAGCATTGACGAACAAAACATGTACGCCAGGACAAGACAGTTAACAACTGAGAATACGACAAGGGACAATCTCAAGCTGCGTCTTCTATACGGAACAACATAGTGATGCATCCCTTTTCCAAAATGTAACTTTTCTTAGCGGGATCTAATGGAACGGTGCTCAGTTATCTGCAATATAATAATTTGTTGTGTCTGAGAAAAGGTGTATAAAAGACGTGTCTATGTTATACTTCATTGCTTACCTTTGCTGTTATCATTATTTTCTTTCTTGTCCCCATCATCAACACCATCATGAGAGGATTAATACAACCACGTCATAGATCATTCGGCACCTCTGCCACCTTTACTTTCCAAGAGATATTTTGATATCAATGTGAATCTGAGTCACCTTGGGAGGCCAGGCTCAAAACTCCTTACCGACGCAGATTCAAACCTAAAACCTTTAGGCCAGCTAGCAAACCTGTAGCCGGGGGAATGTCGCTGTTTCTTTAGTATTAATGCCAACACTAATTTTTCCATGGGAGTAGATAAACAACGTATAATTCGTATTCCGTCTTTTATAGTATTTGTTGATTACACCACTGCTGGCTTGCTAGGCCCGTCAACTGGCGGGTCAGGAAAATGAAATGGTTCGCTCAGCTAGTGAGAATGCAACCAGACCGAACTGCATCTTAGTCTTTTCAACATTAGAACATCTAGGAGTGCGAGGGGAAGGTCAAGAAACAAATGAGTAAATCAGGTTGCTGAAAACCTGCAAAAAGATGAACAGATCCATTACCCAAGCCGCAGGAGAAACGCGAAACAAATACAGAAAACCACGACACTGGGCTACAAGCTGCTATCAGTGAGACTACAAAAGAAGAAAGAAGTAGTTGATAAATAACCACCACATAAAATTTAAAACCATGATCTAATTGTGGAAGAATTTCATAAATCCAGGGAGTCTTGCTGGTCACATTGCCGTCGCCGTGGGCTGTGATCATCATGCTCCTCGGCAGCACAATATTATATCAGTATCGTCTGGAAAGACGGAAAGGTGCCAACGAGAGAACGAAGAAACACAAAGTAACCATTTGAAGGCTAGAACAACACTTTACGAATAAGAACTGGCAAGTTCTTTTCTTCTTCTTCTTCTTCTTCTTCTTCATCTTCTTCTTCTTCTTCTTCTTCTTCTTCTTCTTCTTCTTCTTCTTCTTCTTCTTATTTTTCTTCTTCTTCTTCTTCTTCTTCTTCTTCTTCTTCTTCTTCTTCTTCTTCTTCTTCTTCTTCTTCTTCTTCTTCTTCTTCTTCTTCTTCTTCTTCTTCTTCTTCTTCTTCTTCTTCTTCTTCTTCTTCTTCTTCTTCTTCTTCTTCTTCTTCTTCTTCTTCTTCTTCTTCTTCTTCTTCTTTTGTTTGCTTGAAATAAATCATCTATATCTGCAATGTTGTCTCTAGTATGAACTTCACTGTCTTTTGTTATTCACTCAGCGACCCGTACAGTTTTCCTTTCAGCAATGTTTCTCTTAGCCAAACATTTTGCCTTGATATGTTGTATTTTCAACAGTCTTCGATGACATGATCTGTTGTTTTAGGTGCCAATTGACATGTGCACATGGCTAATTCACCAATTTTAAGCAAGGTGATCACTGTCAAATGACAAGCATACTCGTTAATGTATACGGTGTGACAGGAAGAGAAAAAAAATCAGGGATAAAGAAACTAGAAGAAGACTAGGACTGAAATTCATACAATGCATTAAAACAATGAGATAGTTTGGCCACCTGACAAAAATGCCCTCGTACCAACTGTCGCAGAGAGAGACGCTGGAAAAATATAATCATCATAGAGCAATAGGATGACTACGCAAGATTTGGAGAGACACCATCAGGAGCAACATCTGTGAATCTGTACAGGCAAAAGTTCATATTTATTGTCATCATCCTTATGTGCCATGTCGGTAAGCGTCGGTTGTCAAACGATCACCAGAATCGCGGATCAGTTTAAAGTTGTTGACTGGCCCCATACATAGGGCCACGCCATCCAGGTATTTGTCTCAGTACGTTCCTCTTACGCTCTTTCCATCAATCTTGCCAGCCGCTATCAAGTGCTCGAGTCCATTCCTTCCCAAAGTAAGTCCAAAAAATATTGACTTTTTACGTATAATTATTCTGACGAGATTACGACCTGAGATTACATCTGTCTCGATGAGGACTGTCCGTTTGTGTTTCAATCCTTCCAAGACATTCTTTGCATTTCTCTCAGAAACCACATCTGTGCCGCGAGTAAGTGTTTTTCAGCTTGCCTGCTTGCTTCCCATGTTTCGCATGCACATAATAACATAGGTTTGTTAGAGCTCTTTAACCCTCCTTTTCCTCACTACAGGTGGCATCTTCTTATTGGTAAGGATCGTTTGCCTTTTCCTAAAGGCCGCCTTAGCCATGACGATTCTTTTTCTAATTTCTGCAAGTCATCCTCCCTCCATTTTGTTTCGTGAATTTATTTGAATCGCCTGGAGAACTGACATGCTGCTCTTCTATAAGGTTTGTGGAGATTTCTCCGGAGGCACTGTAGTCGCATCTTGCAGGATGGTGGCCAAATCAGCTTCTCCTTTCTTCCTGCTCCCTTCAATGATCCATCAGTGTATACATGTGTTCATTCAGGTTTTTTAACATGTTCAAGGGTCTTTGCATGCAGTACTGGATCACATTCTGTAGCCTTTGAAGGTTCCTTAGAAGGAATGTCATTGTTTTTGTTTTGTTTTTTCGCAGAAACATTGTGATAGTTGAATAAAGCTTTGCCTTTTCATTCAGGTTTTAGTTCAGTTGTTTGCTATTCTGTGCATGGGGCTGTTGTTCATGCATTTAAGGGGTCACTACACGGCATTTTTTTCCAATTTATGACAAAAATATCACTTTTTCAATGTGTTCATTTTTGTAATGTTCGGCATTCGTAGAATAGATTACACACAAAATGTGTCTCATTGGTAAACAGTTTAGCATTGAAAAGTTAATACTAAAGACACCAACCCATGCACTTTTTTAAGATAAAAAAAAAGTTTAAAAGTCACTTTTCTAACAATTCTTTTTTTTTTATGTATGTTGTGTGTGGAATCTCCTAAAATCTCAGCTAATATAAAGACTAGAGACGTGAAATTTGGTGTGGATACTCCTAACACAATATTATAGGGTCAGGTCTATTTGAAATTACAGTTTATTGAGTAATTTGTTACATTTTTGTATTTTTTCAACATACCAAAATTTTAATATTCTAAAAAAAAATATTTAAAAATATCTTTGAAGTAAAAAAAACTAGACCTGACCCTAAACATAAGTTTAAAGTTCATGAATCGATCATCTTTTTCTCAATTTGTTTTCGAGATTCTAGCTGTATAAGTACATGTTTTTTTTTTTTTTTTCATCAAGATGGTGGCTGTTGCCATGGCAACCATGTTTTTTTAAACTTGAAGTCTACAAATGTATCAACATACATCCCTACAAATGACCATTATAAAATAATTCGTCTAACATTGTAAGTAAAAAAAAAATTGTTTTTCCTGTAGTGACTCCTTAAATTTTTCTCAGCGCAAGCACTTTTACTACCCTTTCGATTACTAAAGCTCTGGAGGCCAGAAGTTTCCTCCAGCTCACTGACAGGTGTGCTTCTTATACCTCCAGTGATGATTCTGAGACCTTGTTCTGAATTGTGTCCAGTGTGTATAGATTTGATTTGGCTGCAGTAGAGTATTCTCCCATGATACACTCCAGTTTTGGTCGTATGTATCCTGTGCATACTTGTCCTACTGTGTTGGCATCTGCACTCCAGCTTCTTTCAGTAAATATCTTTATAAGCCTGAACCGCATGATAGTTTTCAATGTGCGCGTGGGGGAGAGGGGTTTGGGGAGGGGGAGGGTAGTCTTCTGTCGAATTTTACTCCCAAATATGAGGAGTTGTCCTCTTTTGGAGGGATGTTGCCTAACTGGTACAGACCAACTTTTTCTGGCTTTGTGGAAAGAGAGAAGAGTCCGTTTAGGTTCGGTTTATTTTTGACTTCACATGAGTCTGTCAGTTTGTTAACTTTATTTATAGCTTCCTTCATTCTTGTTTAAATTGTTTCTATATGTTCAGCTCGGGTCCCTAAGGCCAGGTCATCTGCGTGTCGGGCTTGTAAATATGAATCGTTAACTCTTTAGGGAGGTCATTGATAAAACAGAACAAACAGGGTAGGAGATAAAACACCTTTCTAAGGGACACCTTCTTGTAATTTGACAAGCTTGCTCTTCTGTTCTTACAGTCTGATTCTCTCGCAGCCTTAGTAAAGAGAGTCACTAATCCGGGCAAACATATGCCCTTTTATCCCACTGTGTGCTAGTTTGAGCCAAAGTCCTTTCTTCCAGACCTTGTCAAAGGTTTCCAAAGTCCTTTCTTCCAGACCTTGTCAAAGGTTTCCAAAGTCCTTTCTTCCAGACCTTGTCAAAGGTTTTGGTCAGGTGGATGAAAGTAAATAGCAATTTGTAATTTTTATTTTTAGAAAAAAAAAAAAAGTTTGTCTCGTATCCTTCACAGGATGTTGCAGAACCAACATCTGCATAGGAGTGCGCTTGTGGGAATACCTCAAGTGCTGGGACGTCGTTTCTTGAATCTGCTCACCTCCACAATTGTCTTCTGAACTTGTCAACCAAAATTTTGCTGGTTTTTTTTTTTCAGCAATAGTTGTTGATCTTACGCTATTAGTTCGCCTTATTCGTTATTTATTAGTTCATCTGTGTATGTGTGTTTTTTTATTTTTTTTATTTTAAACAAGGCTGGGAAATTGCATGACTTATGACGTAACTGACTTTCTTCTGTAGCAACACTTGCTAAATCAGGGCCTACAATGCCAACATTTAAATTATTTAGTCAAAATTACCAAAATTCGGGCGTAGCACCCAAAAAGAAAGTACAGTTTTGTTCGGCAAGGGTCAAAAAGTAACAAAACTGTACTGACTTACCAACTTTGGCTGCCTTGGTTAGAGGTTGACCACGAAAGCAATGAATAGATGGACAATCCTAGGCCGTGAAAACCTACATCTACAAAGGCAAACACCAAAACTGGCAGCTGATGCCTCTTCACCACCTTACAGTAAAAGTCATGA